CGTTACCTCAGCACGTATAAGGAACCACAATATACAGACAGCGCCCCGTTAACTCAGTACTGTCATGATCGGACTTCCTGATCAAAGTAATAAGTAAACGGTTTTCCCAGAGACGGTCGATGCATGTCTCGGGTCACGGTGACGGTTTTCCTTGGCTACATAAGCATGTGTTGTTGAAATCAATGGCCACTAGTTCCAAAGATTACCCGTTGTAGACAAAGGATTAAAGGGTATCGTATACCAAAAGCGAAGTGCATGTCCGTGTCGTTAAAACCAGCAAAAAAATAATATGGAAAGGAATTAAGTTTTTACTGTTTTGAAACATACGAGGGTAATAATTAAACATTATTTTGTGTAACTCATAGATAATCGGAGATCAAGACGCCTTTGACTCGCTAAGTATTCTCAAAACCTGCGTATTGATACAATGAAAGGTGTTTGTAAGAATGTGCAAAGCGTTAGTAAAATAGTCCCTTATGGAGCCATATGTTTGTTGAGGAATCATCTGCACTCGGCAAAACCTCCACATAAACATACTTACTTAAACATTCAACATAAATAGTATATGGAGCACGTATGCAAAATACGCGTGGAGGTTATGTCAGTTCCTTATTTGCATATCTATCAAACAATGATTGGAAGTAAAGTAACACCTTCCCCACATGGGTACAACGTGTGCAGACCATTTCTGGTGTCCCCCGGTCGTGATATTGCTAAAAAATTGCTAAAAGCGGCGTAAAACTAAACTCGACCACTCACTAACAACATCATTCAATGACACAGGACAGGTGTACCTCCCTGTCAGACACACAACAGGTGTACCGCCCAGTCAGACACAGGACAGGTATACCGCCCTGTCAGACACAGGACAGGTATACCGCCCTGTCAGACACAGAACAGGTATACCGCCCAGTCAGACACAGGACAGGTATACCGCCCAGTCAGACACAGGACAGGTGTACCGCCCTGTCAGACACAGAACAGGTGTACCGCCCTGTCAGACACAGGACAGGTGTACCGCCCAGTCAGACACAGGACAGGTATACCGCCCAGTCAGACACAGGACAGGTGTACCGCCCTGTCAGACACAGAACAGGTGTACCGCCCAGTCAGACACACAACAGGTGTACCGCCCTGTCAGACACAGGACAGGTGTACCGCCCTGTCAGACACAGGACAGGTGTACCGCCCAGTCAGACACAGGACAGGTGTACCGCCCTGTCAGACACAGGACAGGTGTACCGCCCTGTCAGACACAGGACAGGTATACCGCCCTGTCAGACACAGAACAGGTGTACTGCCCAGTCAGACACAGGACAGGTCTACCGCCCAGTCAGACACAGGACAGGTCTACCGCCCATTCAGACACAGGCAGGTGTACCGCCCTGTCAGACACAGGACAGGTATATCGTCCAGACACAGGGCAGGTCGATCGCCCAGTCAGACATAAGACAGGTATACCGCCCAGTCAGACACAGGACAGGTGTACCGCCCTGTCAGACACAGAACAGGTGTACCGCCCTGTCAGACACAGAACAGGTGTACCGCCCAGTCAGACACAGGACAGGTCTACCGCCCAGTCAGACACAGGCAGGTGTACCGCCCTGTCAGACACAGGACAGGTATATCGTCCAGACACAGGGCAGGTCGATCGCCCAGTCAGACATAAGACAGGTATACTGCCCAGTCAGACATAAGACAGGTGTACCGCCCAGTCAGACACAAGACAGTTGTACCGCCTAGTCAGACACAGAACAGGTGTACCGCCCAGTCAGACACAGGACAGGTCTACCGCCCAGTCAGACACAGGCAGGTGTACCGCCCTGTCAGACACAGGACAGGTATATCGTCCAGACACAGGGCAGGTCGATCGCCCAGTCAGACATAAGACAGGTATACTGCCCAGTCAGACATAAGACAGGTGTACCGCCCAGTCAGACACAAGACAGTTGTACCGCCTAGTCAGACACAGGACAGGTATACCGCCCAGTCAGACACGGGGCTGGTGTGCCGCCCAACCAGACACAGAACAGGTGTACCGCCCAGTCAGACACAGGACAGGTCTACCGCCCAGTCAGACACAGGCAGGTGTACCGCCCTGTCAGACACAGGACAGGTATATCGTCCAGACACAGGGCAGGTCGATCGCCCAGTCAGACATAAGACAGGTATACTGCCCAGTCAGACATAAGACAGGTGTACCGCCCAGTGAGACACAAGACAGTTGTACCGCCTAGTCAGACACAGAACAGGTGTGCCGCCCAGTCAGACACAGGACAGGTCTACCGCCCAGTCAGACACAGGCAGGTGTACCGCCCTGTCAGACACAGGACAGGTATATCGTCCAGACACAGGGCAGGTCGATCGCCCAGTCAGACATAAGACAGGTATACTGCCCAGTCAGACATAAGACAGGTGTACCGCCCAGTGAGACACAAGACAGTTGTACCGCCTAGTCAGACACAGGACAGGTATACCGCCCAGTCAGACACGGGGCTGGTGTGCCGCCCAACCAGACACAGAACAGGTGTACCGCCCAGTCAGACACAGGACAGGTCTACCGCCCAGTCAGACACAGGCAGGTGTACCGCCCTGTCAGACACAGGACAGGTATATCGTCCAGACACAGGGCAGGTCGATCGCCCAGTCAGACATAAGACAGGTATACTGCCCAGTCAGACATAAGACAGGTGTACCGCCCAGTCAGACACAAGACAGTTGTACCGCCTAGTCAGACACAGGACAGGTATACCACCCAGTCAGACACGGGGCTGGTGTGCCGCCCAACCAGACACAGAGCCCATTGACATTTGTACCAGGAAGTACATGCTGCCGAGTGTAGGCTACACGTGTTACCAGTGCTTGTGGCTCATTGTTTAACCAGAGCTGTGTGTTACAGCGTGTTGTGGTCTGACTACCAGAGGATGTTCACAAGGTATTACACTGTGGCCGTTTGAGCCAGGATGGCTTGTGATAATGGATCGCCAAAGGTATGTCAATCTATGTCTGGTATACCTCGGTGATCCCCGATATTCGCCACGGTTGTGAATGTCAGACACATCAGTATATACACGGTATCACATTTGCAATATTAAGTGCTGCGAACGTTTATGGATGTCTGTTTAATGAGCGTACTGCCAAGTGGGGTTCGTATACAGGTGAGTCTGTCCCGTGGAGATACCTACAAGATGTCCCTGGGACGTGGTCACTCTCAATGTGATGCTGTGGTAATTAAACAACAGGGATTGTTAACAGGTGACCTGGTCATTTGATCAATTGTTGCCGGTTTGACCAGTCTGGGCAGAGCAGCTACAATTGCTCTGGACTTGCCGAAGGATAAGCTTAATAATCGTTCAAGGGTGAATACAATATTAAGTACAATCGTCGAGTTGGTCCTGTTGTTGACTCAAACATGAATGTGTTCACGTCCAGTTGACTCGTGACATGCTAGAGCTGGCATGTACACCCGTTTGTGGGCCAGAAGCTGCGTGGTCCTCTCGGGAAGGTAGGTGTTTCACGATTCGCACACAGACTATCTGCTCGCCTGATTGTAAGGTATACCGAGGCAGTGGCTAGGGTATGTCCATCTGTTCTGGCCGGAATGTCCCCTCAGTACCTGTGATAATGATACCCTCTGCTCCTTCCCTCCTGCCAACCTGACCCCCATGTTATGATGACACTGTGGTACCCGAGGCATCCCTACCCTGGCAAAGCTTTCATTGCTATTACTTACATTTTTTATCCCTGGAACAGCTTGTTAGCACTTTATAAGTATAGTAACACACATAACGCTATGTTCATTAACAATGGCAATATTTCGTGATTTTATTTTAAAGAGAGGGCTATGTACAGAAACCCGACTATGGCTTCTTTCTGCTGCACAGCTAGATTAATTGATGTGAATGCTTCATCTGCGCTGGGAACACACCTTCTCCTGTGTTGGTAACTGCAGCCTGCCACCACTTTCACAGCTTACAGCAACAGACGTGCCAGTTCATTGATTTTTAATGTCTGGAGACCTGTTACCTATGGGAAATTACTTGTATTACACGTCAGAAATTACGTGCACTCCTCGCCAAATACTAAACCAGTCGCCCCAAGCATGTTGCCTTTTGTGATTCGAGCAACTTCAGATCCAGTGGGGTGGCCATTTGGTTAAAACAGTCCCTCGTCTGTTGAAGGTCAAGGGTTCGATTCCCCTCCTGGGTATAGTTTGTAAAGGCCATCGTTCAGACTCCATCACGCTGGAATATTAACTGAGTCACCTTTGTCCAACCATCAACATATATTTTACTCATTGTCATCTCGGTATATCTAGTTCATCACTGACTCTGCAGTTGGTCTCATCAAACGCCAGTAGTCTGTAGCCGAGTGTCCATGTAGTTCAAAACAAAACCTTTCACGTCTCTGCCTTTGAAGAGAAAACGCGTTGTTTCCCCACCCATAGGATCACACTAACTGCGGTGACGGTGACGTGACGTTCACACATATACATAAGATCATTACTATAGATATATACACTGAAGTATCGCCTACACGAGTAGAACTGCCTTGAGTAGCACACATGAGGCTTGTTAACCCGGAGGTGATAATTCCTGTGTGTTTGGGGGATCAGTGTATGAATTGTTCAAATATATTTGTATTACACATTCATTCAAAACTTCCAACAGCTGACATTACCTCTAGACCTATATGAGTACAGACAGAATGATTGACATCGCTATCCATGTCAGTCTACTTTGTACATACAGTACAGAGGCAACCTTATGGTGGGTTTGGATGTGTTTTTATTTGCTCTCTTGAGTTTGGAATAAGTACCAATCTATGTTGTTTAGGACAGGCTGTTATCCCAATACTTCAATCTGTTGTCATGGTTTCTGTATGTTTCAGGAAAGGTTGCTATCCCAATACTTCAATCTGTTGTCATTGTGTCTGTATGTTTCAGGACAGGTTGCTATCCCAATACTTCAGTCTGTTGTCATGGTTTCTGTATGTTTCAGATGGCAAGGATGCAGTCGATGCAGAGCCAGTGTTGTTGCTGCGCGATCAGCGTCTTCTCCGCGCTGTTCGGGATCATCATGTTGTCGACCGGAGTCTGCCTGGTGCTCAACTACCGCATCATGGAGGTGGACACGACAGGCCTTCCTCCTGAGTGGCGGAATGAGGAGGGCAAGAAGATTGTTGGTATCATCCTCATCTGTTGTGGCATAGGCGGCATGGGAATGAGTGCCCTCATCACTGTGTTGTACTTTACTGTCTGCTCTCGTCCCAAAACCACCCCTGCCGTCGCCCCTGCTGGACCTGTCCAGGGACACGGGCCGGGACATCTGACGGCGGGGAAGACAGCCCACCACCCTCCAAACACACCTGACCCATACTGTACAGAGGTGAATGCGAAACAGCATAACTCATCGAAAGGCCGACGTGGGAAGCGGACTACAAAGAAACGACCACATCTTAAAAAATATAAAAATAATCTCACAACTCATAAGGAGGTGATCAATGAAAGTGAGCCCCGTCGTGAACATATCGATCTGGACGAGTCGTCCCAGTCTCTAGACTCCTCCCAGACCGCGTCGTCCAGGACGACTATCAGTGGGACAGCACAGGAAATCATAGAAACGTCACTAAAGACAAAACAGGAGTATGCTCCACCTGTGATATTAAATGTGAACCATTTACCTCAGCTTCCGAACCCGGAGACTGGTATGCTTAAAACAATGCCCCTTCCCCCTATCCAATCCAAATCGGTGGAGATGGATTCAGAGGAGGAAGAGGTGTCTCAGATAGAGGAAATTAAGAAGCTGGACAAACAGGTGGCCGGCCTGATAGAGTGAACATGCCGGACAATACCAGTGTTATATGTTGCTTCGTGATGGAACCTGGTATGCTCACATGTGGCCAACCTATCTGTGTTCCCTCTACTACGTGTTGCACCTTGAAGGGAGTGGAGAGTACTGGACAAGCATCTGGTCAACATGTTGTGTTCTGAGGATTGATGGAGAAACCAGATATGGTTGGCCAGAAACTGGGACAATCACTGACCACAGTCCAGTTCTCCAACTGTCCATGGACGGCCAGTACGGTGGGGCTGCACAAAGTAGTATGTTTCGTACCGATAGCATGTCTAGAAATGTACATGTGTCTCTAGACGTGTGAGTAGAAAGCTGTGTGGTGAGGTGAACCTTTGTGTTAGTGGTACGTATCCGACGAGGGTCACGATGGCCTCATCAAGGTGTTATATAAGATGCAGCATCTACAGGTCACGATGATCTTATCCAAGGTCAGTGCAACCCACTAACGGGTCCAGCTTCTATAGACTAGCTAGGCTCCAAGTGCTAGGATGTCAGTGGAGGGACGGTATGTGTGTGGGAGTGACACAGTCCCGCGACTGCCCATCACTTTCCTGCCCTCAGGACCCAATTACTGCAATATGTGATACTGTCTGAAACAATTGTGATAACTGTAGCGATGTCATACACTCTTTGTTGTCAACAATGGAGATGTTCATTTGCAAAACAGTGTTGACTTCATCGAAAATTAACCATGCTGAAATTCTCCTTGTTCTACGTTGTCAGTGTCCAGGAATGTCTGGTGACGGGTCTTCATGGAATGTATGGTCATCTCTGCTGGACGATGGACGTACACACACCTGGCATGTGTACACACCACACCATTAACGCTGCAAGTGCACGTGCGACACAAGCTTTCTCTGCAAGTACACGTGACAACCACCTGCTTGTCATGAACGATAGAACACCCACCGACCGTGTGCATGTGTGTATACATTCATGAGGACCCGTATGTCAGCGTGGAGACAGACACACCTGTTACTATGACAACACGTGCTCTCAGAGCTCCTTGCAAGACGCTGTCTCCTCGCTAATATTCAAATGGGTATCGTTGCTCAAACGTCGTATAGTCCCGGCTGTCCCCATTGTGATGCAAGAACGACTTTAGAACGTATGTGATACCTGTCGGTGTAGAATAGTGAATGTACCTGTGATCACCTGTTCTCATATAAGCTATGTCTGTGAATGTTGCTAACAATGGTATCTCTCCCCAGTCTGTTCCAACACGGACGACTTTATACATTACAGACCTACTTTATGTCACCTCTGAATCTCACTGGTTACATAGGTTACATAGGTAACATGGTTACACTGATTAGCCACCCCCACAGGAAGTATTCTGTCTTCTTTAAATCGATATATTTGTTAAACTTTAGATTCACATTTGATAAACATTTACAAGCATCTACTCATTTGTGACATGGGATCAAACATCGAGTGACATTAAAGGTGTACTTGTAACACTGTAAAGCATCCACACGATAAACTTTGTATCTCGATCCGATGGATATGTAATTGAGGTCACATGACAAACTGTGTTTAGGTTCCTTTCACCTTGTCTCCTTAATCTTGTTAGCGAAGACATGACTATGACATGTATAGCTTTGACATGACTGTGACATGTATCACTTCTCCATCGTCATCATCGTTCGGCTCAGATGACCACCTAGTGTATATAGACGGTTTATCCCACCTGGCAACACGCAATGCAACATGACGTCATCGTATCAACTCAGCAACATCAACACATCATCCACTACCTTAAGACATGGTTCCATCCACTCTACCCGTCACTTTATCACATAGTTCTATCTGTTATATCAACACATCATCCACTACCTTAACACATGGTTCCATCCACTCTACCCGTCACTTTATCACATAGTTCTATCTGTTATATCATAAAATCTTCCATATTCTGCTTAAAACGTTTTCTGCTGAAGATATATTGGTATACGAGGGGTCAGTCAACATGTATCTTGAAATGGGAAATCCCCAATCCCTCGTGGATATACATCACCTGCCGCAGGAGCACCAGAACACGTGCATGTGTATGACGAGGGTGTGTCGGATCTGTGGACAGTTCGTGTCACGCGTCTCCGCCTCAAAGTGCAATGGCGACACCAAGCGTTCACTGCTGCACGTGTTGACAATGGGGACCCGCCACTACGTAGCGTATGTTAGCATAACGGGATGAGTCTATTTCCTCGTGCATATTTGCTTTAACTAATGGGAGGTCGGGTCGTCAGTTGTTCCTGCCAGCGTGGTGGCCAAGCAACTACGTCACCTGTTTCCGCCACAACACTATCCAAGCTAGCTAGCAGACCTTCATTATCGGCACTGTTTAACTATCTCTTTGTACATCGCATTGTTTCTGTAGTTACGATCAATTCTTGAAGTGTATATACAATGTGTTACTCTGTGATACAACAATCATCATCTAATTCCACTCGGCAATGAGATGGCGGTGTTTGCTGGCGTGTCCCGATATTGGCTAATGGCGGGGCTAATGTTACACGCTCAAACTCGGCTCCAGTTGCAAGGTGGGTGTGGCCCTTTAGACACACTCTCATTGTAAACACTTATGTATGCGTTGGAGCTTGCAGTTAGCGTGCAGTCACCCAGTATGACTGCAGTCCACCTTGACGACGTTGTATTTCTTCATGTACAAGGTGCTTGTGTTCGTGCCTGTCGCACCAATGTTTCACTTACACCTGGGATAGGGATCTCTAGTGGCCACATCGGGTAGGGTTTTCGCCCCATAAAGAGCTGAAACACCATATGACTGAAATACTATTTACACAGTCAGTAGTTGTCCACAGATGTCAACATGTTTATAATGTGCAAATTACACGAACAGTAATCGGGTCTCTCGCCAGTAAATGTTTGTTTGAATGTATTACGGGACACCTGAGAAATGTTTGTGAGTACTGCCGGACTGCGACGTGTGTGAATGTACTCAACTCTCCCGTCTCTGTCATCGACAAAAGCTTCACGCATTTGTATACTAACAGTTCCGACAGTCAATGAGTTTCATATATATTCTGAAGTAAAGAATCGTTACAATATTCTGTGCGTATTGCTCTGAATTACACAACATATTTAGGTTATTCTGATGTTAAATGTAATTGTTACCTGTAGGCATGCCATTCATCCATTAACAACAGGTAGGGCACTTTATTGATCCTCCCCCCGGGGACTGGACCCACACTCACTCACGGATCCATGTTTTATAGTCTGTAACTGGGAGAAAGTACAATGAACAATTAACACCACATGCCTTACAATATCTTGCTGAGAGACTGTACGCCTCATGTAATCTACCGCTGACACTTTGTACAACCTGTCATACAATGTCTGACGTCCTTATACAAGTCGTAGAGCTTGTCAATAACTGCTGCCGTTGCACATGTTTAGTTTAAACTGAATCCATATACACTGTGCAATGGGAATCGGAAATAAACTATTTTCATCATATGAGCGTTGGTTGTATTATTTTGTTTTATGTTGTGAACGGAGCTCTCTGCGCACTAAAACCAGTAGTGCAAGTACTGTTTCCCATGTGCTTAATTTGAGAAACGTTTGAAGATCATTAATGTCACACATATTCTTAATGCAAATCTTCATAACAAACTCCTATATACATGCCTCGTGCAAAGATTGTGTATGTAATACAACCAACATGTCACGTGTGTAAGGACTTAGCGTATAATACAGCCTACATGTCACGTGTGTAAGGACTTCGTGTATAATACAGCCTACATGTCACATGTACAAGGGTTGGCTGTATAGTTCTATTTCTCGTCTATGCGGCGATGACATGGCGGCCTGTGGTTCGTCTCTGCAGTGACTACAAGTGGATTATCGTTTCGCTGCAGTGACCAGAGGAATGCTTGTGTCTGGTATGTACCATGTCACTTGTACCTGCTTTGTCTTGTATCGAGCCGACCGCAGCTGCAACATCGTCATGCACCATGACTGATTCCCCGCAGACTACAGATCCGTGCTGGATTTATAATGCATGGTAATCTGTGAAATCTATTATTTCATATCGATCTTATTAACGGCTGAAGAATATTGCAGGCCTTATTGCCTTACCCTGGATGGTTCTGTTAGCACCTCACCATGAAAACAGCAAGTCCCACAAATACACACTCGATGCTTTGAAATTCTGCAGACTAATCCACTGCATAAACATTAGGAACATATCCGGATCTATACATGGCATTATGGGCTAACGGTTCGGGCAGGAACATATCCGGATCTATACATGGCATTATGGGCTAACGGTTGGGCAGGAACATATCCGGATCTATACATGGCATTATGGGCTAACGGTTCGGGCAGGAACATATCCGGATCTATACATGGCATTATGGGCTAACGGTTCGGGCAGGAACATATCCGGATCTATACATGGCATTATGGGCTAACGGTTCGGGCAGGAACACGTACCTGAGTAAACTAATGATGTCAGATGTCAGTAATGTCAAATACCTACAGTGACCACATGCTGGTCAGGTCTGTACTTTGGTGGAACAGATGGAGATAATCCGGATAATCCCAACACGGATTACCTCAGATTAGTATTGACTAAGTAAGTCACTGTAATATAGGCTTGTAACCTGCCTGCCTGTGACACTGGTAGACATTCAACAGTTATGTAACAGTTCCCGTATTTCTTTCGTTATCTTTTGAGGCTGTTGTGTAAGTATTGGTGGAACAAACACACTATGGCTTTTGGTAAGTATGTGTGTACAGAGAGCATATTCCCCAATGTGTAAACTGAGAGCATATTCCCCAATTTCTACAATGAGAGCATATTCCCAATGCGTAAACTGAGAGCATATTCCCAATGCGTAAACTGAGAGCATATTCCCAATGTCTACACTGAGAGCATATTCCCAATGTCTACACTGAGAGCATATTCCCAATGTCTACACTGAGAGCATATTCCCAATGCGTAAACTGAGAGCATATTCCCAATTTCTACACTGAGAGCATATTCCCAATGTCTACACTGAGAGCATATTCCCAATGCGTAAACTGAGAGCATATTCCCAATGTCTACACTGAGAGCATATTCCCAATGTCTACACTGAGAGCATATTCCCAATGCGTAAACTGAGAGCATATTCCCAATGCGTAAACTGAGAGCATATTCCCAATGTGTACACTGAGAGCATATTCCCTAATGTATAGTATGACCAGAAATTATTGAGAATTTTAGGAATATGTTTAATTGGATCCTAGTATAAACAACCTTGACCAGCTATCAAGTGCTTGGTTTCATTCAAGAGGGACAACTCCGTTAATCCTTTTTCATTAGTTTCTGAAGAGTTATCCCCCTGTGTTTACTTGCTAGCAGACGACGTTTTCAGTGATCCTCAGTATGGATGATTTAGAGAAGAGGAAGTTGATTTTAAGAGTATTATAACAAGGACATCAGATCAGCTAAAGTGATTTCAAGTAGAACAGGTATCCCTTTGTCCACTGTTTATCGTGTTTTGAAAGATATTGCAAATGGATATGGCATTGAGCACTAGGGAGGCGCAGGTAGGCCCAGAAAATTTATTGTCGGTGACAGGAGGCGGCTTGGTATTCTTGTTTCTAAAAACAAACGAAGGAGTGTAGAAAACTTAAGGCTGGATATGATTGATAGAGGAACTGTGGCTGTCTGTAAGGAGACAATTAGAACTGAGCTGCATTCAATGGGTTGGCAGAAAAGTCGAAGAATTCCATCACCGATCATAAAACCAGAACAAAAAGAGCGAATGTTGAACTGGTGCTTACAGCATAGACATTTTAACTGGGACAATGTGATTTTCTCAGATGAAAATTCTGTGTGGCTGTTTCCCAATACACTGAAATTCTGGACCAAACAAACTGAAAAACCTTTGTATCAGCGCCCAAAGTACAATCCGAAATT